AATTTAAACAAACCTACTACAATTTTCAATTAGTTGTCAATAATTTTTCCATTCTTGCCCAGGACAGGGTTGGATGGAGAATGCTGGTGAGCGGTCTATGCTCCTTCACGAGGAGTAACAGGTGTAAGTAAGTAAGTAACTAATTTTTCCATCCCACATAAACTTCAGTTATGTAAATTGATATTCATTAATCACTAATCAATGTTATTTACTCTATTGGGGCATATCAAAACATGATTTTACTTAACTATACTTTATTTTTATATTCTATCAGTACCATAGACCAATTTCTGTTCTACTCTACTAAACTTATTTTCACGATTTATTCCGTTATCATACCCATAAACGAATGTTTTACTCTGTAAACAAAGATGGTTAATGTTTAGCAGTGGAATCCAGGACGCGCGTTTCATCCTATTTCAGATTCATCAGCTGTGTGTATCTGAATCTCACAGTTGATATTCATTATACAACTCGATCCCAATACTGTTAACTTCAAACGACATCGCATTATTCACTTAACTACTAAGTCCTGATAACCACTTGCTTGTACAATCGGATGAAGTTTACATTCATTTTGTATCGTTTGATTGAATCTTCCCATTGATATTTAGTACTGCAATTGATCAATCTGTTATTGACATATATGCATAGTGTGCATATTGCCTCGATATTGCCTTAGTTCACAAGTATTATAAGCAAAGATGGATAGTGGCTAGTATTGAAATCCAAGACACGCGTTTCATCCTATTTTGAACTCGTCAGCTCGATGTATCTGCATCTCACAGTTAATGTTCACTCTAAAACTCGAACCCAATACTGTTCACTTCAAATGCCATCGTGTTATCCACTTAGTTACTGAGTCCTGATAGTCACTTGCTTGTGCAATAAAGTGAAGTTGGAATTCACTTGGTACTGTTTACTTGAATCTTCCCATTGATGTTTAGGACTGCAATTGATCAATCTGTTATTGGCATATGTGCATCCTGTGTGTATCCCTTCGTTATTGCCTTAAGTCTTAATTATTATAAGCAAAGATGGATAATGACCAGTAGTGAAATCCAAGACACATGTTTCGTCCTACTTGGGACTCGTCAACTAGGATATGCTTACATCTCACAGTTGATGTTCACTTTGTGACTCGAACCCAATACTGTTCACTTCGAAATGCCATCGTGTTATCCACTTAACTATTGAGTCCTGATTACCACTTGACAAAAAGCAATATCAAGGCAATCCTCACAGACTTCACACATGACAACAAGAGACTCCATCAATTATAGTCTTAAATAACAAGGAGAAAATACAAGTGAATTTAAAGTTTTTTTTTTCATGATCTTTCAAATCGTTCATATGATCATGTTAGTTTATTGTTTAAATAGTCACGATATAAATCCATGTTAATTTTTTCAATACGCTTATTAACTCTCTCTTTCTTCTATGTGCATGATAACATTTCCCTTTTT